GTTTGAGCGTCCAAAGCACGCACATTCCGTTAGGACATGGTCTGATCGTGTTGTCCACGGACGCAGCGCGAGAGTACACCTAAGTCCCTAACGGAAGGCATGGAATGTAGCAATTGACCGTCGAAGCTGTAGGTTCGGCCGTGACTGCTTTTTCTCAGGCCCAAGAATACTTGTTTGGGTTTACCGTGAGGCTGCCCTCTGAAGAACACGTGGAGAGCCCGTCGAGGTCTTATTGTACTAGATCACAGAGGGGTGCTATTCAGTTTCCAAATCTTCAGACCGTTTGCAAACAAGGCATACGTCGACTGATGAAGCTGAAGTAGGTCGTTGCTGTGGATTAGGAACAGATGGGTCCCAGCGCCGTGCCTTGGTGCACGCCACTGTTGGAATGATTCCAGTAACTTAGATGAATTGTACCTTCCACTTTTGTGCAACGCGAACCTCCACACACTCAGCTTCTGTATCAAGAGCTCATACTTTACCTTGTCAGGCGCTTCATTGAACTTGATGTATATCACGCAAACAGACTTCCTTGGTTCATCGCCTGCATCTACTCATGCATCGTCACGAGCAAGTTGGTAATGCATGAGCGGCCTAGCCTGAAATCGTGCTGCTTTGAGCAGCTGTAGTAGCCCCTTCACGATCTTCTCAGCAACCTTGGCCAAAGTAGGTAACAGACATATAGTTTTCCCCTTTGCTTGAGTCACCGCCTTTCGGAATCGGCTTTACCATTGAGCATTTTCAGTCCCTCGATCGTACGAGTGATCACTTGCGGCCAGGGGCTTCTGTATCTGAATGTCATTTACATCTTGTTCGCAAATTCTTAACGTATGGGTTACGCAGCTCCACTTTAAGTACGATTTGCACGAAACTTTCTTCAAACTCGCAATATCCGGACCTGAGCTGGAACTCAAGCCTACGTACTCGACGGCACTCGAAGTTACCCACACGTAGAAAATGGGGAAATTTCCTGTTGATCTGAAGACACAGTACCCAGTTCAAACAATGGTTTAGGTGATTTCGATAAACTGCACCCATGCGCAACTTTCTTCACCTGAGGTGGATGAAGCACCACGGCTGCTCTCTTCGCTTCGGTAGCCACTCATAACCTACCACACAGGGACTGAATGTAGAGCAAGACGTCGCCGCGGACATTAGAGCATATATCATAGTGGAAGCACGAGTAATCACTGAGCTCGAATTCCTGGAGGATCACCTAAGAATTTAGCCAACTCTGCGAGTCCCACTACGTCTGGTCGCTCGGATGCAGCAAAACGACAAAATTCATCACGCTTGTTCATAAAGCTGCGAACGTTGCTAAAGGCTACACACAAGCCGCAGCAGAAACCCCCGGGCGTGCTTGAAGTGTAAGCAATTTGTTTATCCTGCTTCATAGAATCTTGGAACCGGCCCGAAAATTTACGACACAGATTTGTTTCCCCATCGCCATTACATCTTTTCAGCACAATAGCGGTAGACCTGAGCCGTTCTCGGTCTACCGGGTTCTTATCTGTATGAACATGGACATTCAAACCTTTCAGCCTTTTTAGACGGTATGGTATCAGTCTCAGACTGACTTCCTCCACAAAGATGATTCTCATCTGCTGACTTGGTTGATCACCTTTCCTCACAAGGCGATTAAATTCCCTCATTTTCAACCTGTCCTCACTCATAATGAGTGTGTCTATTAATTAGACTCTGTATAAACGACGCTGTGATCGTAGCACTACTGGAGAGTTGGATCAATGGAGTCAAGCACGTGGAAGATCACGAGGTTGAAACGCCTCTGATTGGCTAAGGTTGATCCCGCACGGCAAGAATTTTCCCCAGCTTCACGTGGTCTTGCCTGCCATTGATTTGCAGCGGTTGAACTCTTTTCATTCCTCTGTTTTTTTGTACTTTCCACGGATCTTGAATGTGCAGGCTTTCACTTTCTGGGACATCTGTACCCCTAGGACAACACAGGTAGGAGGTTCGTGTTAAATGAAACTGGACTATTCGCAACAGCGAGACTTCGTGCCAGTGAGTTTGCCTGGGACGAGCAGTAAGGCTTATTTGAAACCTGGAGGCGTTTCGGGATAGCCTGTCGGGCTAGACACACTGGGCTGCTCATAACAGAAAGATTCAGCCTACACGACGGCTGGTGTCTCTGCTCTACTTTTTCTGACAGTTCTTACACAAAATTGAGGGAACTTATGTTGGGTTTTATGAAGACATCGAAAATGCGGAATCGACAGTACAGTGCATGAAATGTGAACATTAACCTGACACATTTGTTTGATGACTGACAATCTTGGAACGGGCACCGCAAAGTGATTGTTTAGACATTCTGGGTAATCCGAGACCAATCTGGGGACTAATTGTGAGGCGTAAAGCAATGGTAAACTTTCTGAGATTAGATTTATAATACCATGATTTAATTGGCAGCCTAAATTCGTCGTTTGGTCAGGGGGTTACGCTATCCTCTGCACGGCAGTAATGTACAACTACTCACACAGTTATGATGATCTTTGCCGTCCCTCGTAGCTCAATAGTCTCAACCAGAGACTGAAAACATTCGAGTTGCGGGTTCGAACTTCGCAGAGGTCAGATGTAATGCACACTGCTGGCGATTCCCGAAAGGAAGAAATGGCCGTACAGTGCTTTTCCGGGCATGTGACGGTTGTCTGACTGTGTCTAGATGTGATGAATTCCTACCTGTACTAAGTATATGTGGTCAAAAAATTCAAAATCTTGACTGAAATTGAATGATCTCGTAATTTCTACGAAATAAGTCCAATGCACAGAGATCCAACGGGAAGGAATTTTGCTATCACAGTTAGGGAAATACCAACCAGATGGTGATGACGAGTATGCTAATGGTGCTTGTACACTTTTAAGTGACAAAACGCTTAGGATGATTAAGCGACGCGTAGCACTTCGGGAAATCGGATTACTCAAACCGGAACTGAACGCAGATCACTATAAACCCGGAGCTGATCGATGAGCACCGATGCGCTTCAAATGTTAAGGTCGACAGTAAATGTGTTGCTGTCGGACAAAGAATAAACCATCAAGTAATAAGCAACCTTTAACGGTATCCTTAAAACAAAGGGATAGAGACGGTTTCTGCGACAATCAACAATGGTCCGCTGCATCGCTAACCGAAACTGTACGACGAGACCGCGCACGGAGATCCAATGAAGTATGGGCCGATTGTGCGGAAATGTGGTTAATCAAGCGGGACCAAAAACCAATCAGCGAACATACAATTTGAGCAACTGTACTTGCACCTGTGTGCTTAGTAAATAGGTGTGGGATGAGTAGAGCAAAAAGTCTAGACTGCGATCAGTATGGAGAGACAATGAATTCGTCAACGCCACACGAGGAATGTCATAGGTTACAACTGGCACAAGGGCTGGACGGTTGATGGCAAATGCATTTTGATAGTCGTCAACGATCTCAGCGATCAGTCATATTTTTCAAGAACGCACGAGTTAATTACAACAATCATGATCGTTCTCTGCGACGGCGTATTGTTCTCAATAACGGCACTATTCGCCTCCGGTAGCCATAAGTAATTCTTTCGAAAACAGGGTAATAGGCACTAGATCCCACGATTTAAAGACCTAGTGTAACGGTTTGTCGACGTCTTCAGTAAATATTTCAAATGGCCCAGTCGGAGAAACTAACGGAGGTATCTTACGGTAGTTTCTCTTGAATCGTCACACAACAAACTTGTAGACTGCTACAGTGTCCCACTAGCATGCTTCGTGTTTCAGTGGAAGATGCGTACATTACTTCACCTCTAAATAGTGTCTCTGCCCCGTGGCCTTAAGGATCAAAAGCCTGCCTCGTAATCCGAGGTCGCGGGTTCGAGTATGCATAGGGAACCGCGGACCTTCGCAGTATTAGCCAACGCGCGACGGGTAGTGGTCGCACGTTATGGAAGGGTCGGTACTCCGTACCCGCGTATTGCTGATACCTTCCTCTTCTTTTTCTCTGCTCAATACTTCGATCGCTACATAGGCCATTTCTCTCGGCAGCATGGCTTGGACAAAACGTGGAACCGACTAATGCGACGGGGCCACCTCAAGTGATGCACGAGCGTTATGTTGTGATGTATGACCTACGTGTGCTTCATCTGGCTTTGGTGAGTTCAACAAAGTAATTTCGGCACGCAGATTGCTTTATTACAGTTGATTGAAGCAAGTCCCTCACTCCTGAACATCCTTGAATCTTTATTTGGCTTCCGCAGAGAAACGGAGCGGCGACTAGAAGCAATCCATGTCCCGAACGGCATCCCCATACTTGCAATCCTGAGGTGATATCAATGTAGGATAACATACCTCGGCTCCATTTCCGGTGAATATGGTTGCTTTCCCACGACCAGTCTACTCAGTGAGAGTGATGTATGTGTTTTGGTGCCGCTGAATGTGCGGCTAACCTGCTGCTACCGTGCAGCTGACCGTTGCCAGAAATCTGTTTTGGTTTCTGCTGTCTTTATGGATATGAGGTTGTGATGTTGGGAAGAGCACTTTTATCATTCGAAAGGCTATTCGTTTAAATTTGCCTAACTTTTTTCTATTTCTGATCAGCGTGGTTCTTCGTCTTTTGACGATCTAGTTGTAAAACGGTGATGGAGCCCTAGAATTACGATTAAGGGGAGCTGTCACTGCAAGCTCGCCCTCTGTAACCATGACTAACTGCCTTGTCTTAGCGCTTCTCAGAAAACTAGTTATCACTTCACCTATTTAATTAATTTTTCAAATCTATTTTCCCACATTTCTTGTCGCGTAACTATCTTAACTCTCAAGTATGCTTGTTGACACAACAAAGTCATTAGCATGCGACGCGAGCAGTTGTTAGATTACCGGTTCGGTTCTTTCCATCTCTTCACTTGTTTTTACCCGTTTTATCTTGTAGTACCTAGTGTATGTGCTGAAATTGAACCTATATGGGTGCGTGAATTTTATTTCCACTTGACTGACCATTCTTGTCGTATTCACTGTGATTACTCAGCTTTCAGGATAACCTCTGCTCCTCTGCCACTGATCAAAATGCAGTGGTTTGTCGTTTGCATAACCCAAGAAAGTACAAAACTGATGCAGACGATTTAGTCCACTTGCGTGGTCATGCGTGTGTGTCCATTCGACCTTCGATTTCGTTTTGTCCTCGAGGATGACGTGGAAGAGCTGCGAGCACTGTATAAAGAGTGCTTTCCGGTGACGTAAGTATTTACTACGTAATATTTTTTTCTTTTGCAGTTACCCGAATTCGTGGTTCAATGATCTGATTACGAACCCTGCGCTTATATCATTTGTGGCTTTAGCGAACCATAGAATTGTCGCGATTTTAGTGGCTAAAATTATCACTCTAGATGAGTGCAGTGGTGAGGTAAGCGTCATAGGGGAAAATTTGATGTATCTCATCTAGGATCGAAACATTTTGGATCGTTCTTTTCCAAACAACAGCTTTGTTGCCTACATATTGAGCCTCGGGGTCAGTGTGGCTTATCGTTCGCACGGAATAGGTAAGCATTATTGGTTATCTGCTGATTTTGACAAACAACACATTCGCTTTAGTGATTATCGGCTTTAGAAAACTTTGGCCCGAAGTAGGAAGAATAAGCCACGGTGATGCGTTTGCTTAGAGATTTAACTTTTTGAATTGAAACATGTTCAGTGAGATCGCTTAATTAATTTCTTCCGGACACTTCTTACTCACTCCTTTTATTGGTCTTATCGAGAGGGGGTTTATTTTACTGATGCAGTTACGAGTAAGGTGAACGCATGGATGAATGTGCATGACTGAACTTCCTACGGGGCAGTGTGCTCCTCGATTTCAGTTCAAAAATAGTTTTTTTGACCACCTGAAATTGATGCTTTGTTGTTAGTAGGTGTATACGTACCAATGTTAACGCGGCGTGGGTCCATGTGTTACTGATTCACAAGAATCGCATTGCTTTGCCAAGCTATTCTACGACGATAGTTAACCGACTTTTTCCCATACCCCAGCACTTATCAGTTCAAGCTGCGAACAGCTTGTCTAGCACTTCACAGTACTTATATATATATATATATATATATATATATAGCAACAGTCTATGAATAGGCCTCGAGCCATCACAAATCATGGAACACAAAAGAAGGTACAAAATTGTAAAAGAAAACACTACACACCACATTAAAGTCCATGGTTTCGTCAGAGGGCGAGATACTACCCGGATATCCAAGCCGAAGTACGGTGTTGACTTAGGGAACACCACCCCGAGACTTTGGCTGAATAGCCTGCTCGCAAGGCAGCGGAGCGGATTCAGAGAATCGCGCCCATTGGGAGCCGGTGACTGATTGCTCAGTTCATACGCCCTTCGTTTGTTCCCTTGTCAAACAGAGGCCCAATGCTCCCCACAATTACAGCACAAACATGCTGGAATACAATGCTTCGCCAGAATGAAGCAAGGCACAGTGACTTTATTTAGTGGCGAATCACGTCCGCCACGCCACAGTATTGTTAAAGGGACATATGTGACTTTTTATAGTGAGAACGCTTGCCAGGCGAAAACCCATTACGTCCTGGAACAATGCCGCCGAACCATTTGCTGGAACGGGAAAATCCCGAACCACCCATGGGTGGCTTGCGCTGCGCCACCCACAGCTCCAACCACACACCCCATATCCAGTGTAAACCCGAAGGAATAAGACCGGGAGGCATGTGGATGGGAGCCACGTTTCATCAACGGAGCCGACCCACACTCCTTCACAGGTAAACATAAGCACGCTGTATTTGGGGAATCCGGCACACACACAAGGCGCTGGCTGGACCGTAGTCCGCTCCACACTGAGTCCATGGAACCGCTCTTCAAGCCCATCACGTCCACACGGACCGTGCAGCCCGTCCCCTCCAGCAACGACCAACTGTCTCCTGGAGCCAGTATGAACGATGTAGTGGGTAATAGACAGGTAGGCATCTTGTCAACATGCAAATCAAGCGCAGCCACACCGGGGATATCAAACAACAGCCATTCACTTGAAATGACCAGATGAAATAATATAAATCCAATAGTGCATACAGCTATGGTAGCATAATTCTTCACTGAATTACCATATGAAGTGAGTTGGTTAGTAACGAATCCGCGATAACTAAGAAATGCCACAAGTTACTTAAGAATGCTACAAACGCAACAAAATTACCGAAGATAAGCGCAATTAGTGTAAGCAACGTGGCCAGTTAATTGAACATTATTCAGGGAGGCAGAACAAACCAAATAAAGCGGAATGAAATTTATCCAGCTTAAAAAGACCTAGTTTAAGTGTAAGTTGGTTTAGCCCAACTGCGGCGAAGAAGCATCAAGAATGCAACATCATCTTCAGCATAGGATATATATATATATATATATATATATATATATATATGAGCGAGGCCACTCGGGACCACTACAGAAGCGACGATGGGACCTGCAGGGAAGTATTCAGAAGCGGCGCAGCGTTTGTAGGCACGCTGCATTCGACTTACTAACCGCTTAGCATGCAAGCAAGCGGTTAGTAGATCGAATGCAGCGTGCCTACAAACGCTGCGCCGGTTCTGAATACTTCTCTGCAGGTCCCGTCGTCGCTTCTGTAGTGGTCCATAGTGGCCTCGCTCATGGCTCACTAGATATTTATATGATAAATAAAGGGTTTAGTACAAAACTGAAAACCCACCACCTGTTATAAAGAGACTTAGCATGCAAGCACGCGGTTAGTAAATCGAATGCAGCGTACCTATAGGCGCCTCACCGGTTCTGCTTACGTTCTCTGCAGGACCCGTCGTCGCTTCGGTAGTAGTCCCGAGTGGCCTCGCTCATGGCTCACTAAGCCTGCCTGACTAAGGCACTCGCGACCGCATGTTCTACAGCACCATGCGTTTGATGTCGATGGAGAACAACCCATCGGTGCTTGCCGCTTCCGCACTTGCCGCTTCTTCTCTGCATGCATGAGGGCTTTCTCCCGTACCTCGGCAACTGCCTTCGGCCGGTGGCCGAGTGGTCGGCACGTTTGCTTTCCAACCATTAGGTCACCATTTCGAATCCGCGTAGGGGTGGGCGTCCTCGCGGTATACTAAGCCCGCGCGCGACTAGTGGTGGTCGCGCGGCAGCGAAGCGCCGTTACGGCGTATAAGCTGACACCTTTCCTTCTTTCTTTCTTCGTGATCAGATCGCGCCATGCAAGCCGATCAACCGCCTTCGATTCCCATGATCTGCAATCAAGATTAGAACGTGTGAGGCTCACTTTAATCATGTCCTGGTATCGTAGCTTTGGTTTCCCCACGTGCCGCTTCCCAATACTCAGCTGACCATATAATAGCTGCTTCGGTATCCGCGTCGAATCCACACGGCTCACATGACCGAACTACCCCAGGTGTCTCAATAAAAGTATGCAGTCCACTGCATACATTCCACTTCGGCGCGAAACTTCCGTGTCTGCAACTCTGTCGCCCCCAGCCGATGCGTAAAATCCGTCGCAGACACTGCTGATGGGACCGCTCGAGATATCGCACATCCCGACGGTACATTGTCCACGTTTCACTGTCGTGTAGAAGAACGGACAGCACCATGGATTTGTACACCATCAACTTCGTGCCAACGGTAAGCTGATGGTTGTTCCACACTCGGTACTCAAGCTTCCCGAATGCCGCTGCTGCCTTCGACACGCGGATACGCAGCTCACTGTGTATCTGCTGATCAGTCGACATCACACTCCCAGGGTAGCAAAAGCGGGAGGTGGTTTTCAATACTTCAGCACCAATGCTGATTCGCGCCAATATTGAAGATTGCACTTCCGGTGAAGGCTGAAAGAGACAGACAGTTTTGCTTGTGTTGATGGTGAGTCCGAATTTGGCCGCTGTCGAAGCCAGAGCACTAGTCATTTGCTGCAACTCATCCGCGCTGTGTGAAAACAACGCACAGTCGTCAGCAAACAGCAACATACGGATAGTTGTCTCACAGACTAGAGTTCTCGCACCAAAACGACGGATGTTCAGCAACCCACCATCAATACCATGCTCCACACGAACACCGTAAGCACAAGCGGCATCAAAAGCACAGGATAACATCGCATGAAGATATATATTAAACAGGGTAGGAGCTAAGACGCAGCCTTGCTTCACACCAGAGATAACTGCAAAGTCATCCGAGGTCTCTCCACTCAGCTACACCCTCGCTCGCATACCACTGTGCAGATATTCAATTAAACTTACAAACTTACGCGGGCAAGCAAACTTACCCAACAGCAACCACAATGCCACGCGGTTCACCGTATCAAATGCCTTGGTGAAATCAACAGAAAGCGAGTACAATGGCTGGTGTCGTTCTCTGCACTTATCCTGCAACTGATGAGCCGCAAACACCATATCTATAGTGCTGCGACCCGAACGGAATCCACATTGCTCTTCCGCCACGTTAGGTTCCACAACCTGACTCACGAGGCGGTTGAGCAGGATTCGGGCAATCACCTTGCCCACACAACTCAGCAAGTTGATGCCACGATAATTGGTGCAACATTGCTTGCTACCTTTGCCCTTGTACAGTGGTAGCACAAGGGCATCCTTCAGCTCAGGAGGCACCTCCTCCTGAATCCACACGCGTTGCACCAAGTGGTGCAGCGCAGTCAACAACGCGAGTCCGCCGTGTTTCAACACTTCAGGCGGGATCCCGTCGGCCCCGGCACACTTGCCGTTTCGCAGCTGAGCAAGTGCTCTCTGCGTCTCATCCAATGTCGGCGTGTCCGCCAGATTCGCCTTCACATCGTGCTGCTTGAGGCCGTTCAATGTAGGCCAGTCGATCTCTGAACGGTTGTTCAAGAGACAGTCAAAGTGTTTTCGCCAGATCTGCATTATGTCTGCAGTCTGTGTGCAGGTAGCACCTGAACTACCATCGATCATTGTCCTCAGCGGCTCCAGTATCGGTCCATACACCGCCTTCAAGGAGTCAAAGAATTCCTTGTGTTGGCGGCGTTGGGCGTAGCATTCCATCTGCTTCGCCTTCTCCGTCCACCATGCATATTTTATGCGACGGAGCTCTCGGGTCAGTCGCCGTCGAAGTTTGCGAAACTGACTACTGTTTCCCAAGTCACTGGGGTCTGCAACATGTGCAGCAAACGCTGCATTCTTCTCCGACACCAATGCGCCGATCGTCGCATTGTTGTCATCAAACCAATCAGGCCGCTTACAGTTTGCGCGCCCGATGGTCTCCTCGGCAGCAGCTGTCACATGGTCATGAATGTGGTGCCATAGGTCGCCCGCTGTGGCTATGCAGTCCACATCACACAGGCATGCAGCGATCGCCTGCTCCAGCTCAGTACGTTTCGCCACAGTACCGAGGGAGAGAATGTTAACTTTACGCCGATTCACGGCGGGAGTGCAATACATCGATTTAAGAAAATATATGTACAGTTTGGTCCGCACCAATTTGTGATCAGTGCCACACTCAGCTCCACGCAGTGCACGTGTCATGCGCACTTCACGCATATCACGCTGACGTACGATGACATAGTC